GTGGTTCCCAAGCATTCCGGTGGATGGAGAGCAATCTTAGACCTAAACGACTTAACCATCACTTGATCCATCACAAGTTTAAGATGAACACCTTGCAGTCTATTCTCCTGGGTACCAGGCAAGGGGACTGGCTCTCCTCCATTGACCTTTCAGAAGCATACTTACACATCCCAATCCGGCCCTCCCACCACAAATTCCTCAGGTTTTGTGACAACAACCACCACTTCCAATATGTGGCCCTCCCCTTTGGGTTGGCCTCAGCCCCAAGGACCTTTACCAAGATCCTCGTGGCGCTAGCGGCTCACCTTAGGAACCTTCCCGTACACCTCCACTGCTGCCTGGATGATATCCTCATCCTATCTCCCTCCAGACACCAGGCAGAGAGGGACACCAGGGCTACTCTCTCTGCCCTCCAAGCCTACGGGTTCCTTATAAACTGGCAAAAGAGTCAACTGTCACCATCTACCCAAATTACCCATTTAGGGTCTGTAATCGATTCGGTCAAAGAAAAGGTCTTTCTATCCTCGGAAAGGTTCCTCAGTATCCAGAAATCTGTAAAACAGATCAGGCGATCAAAAAAGGTAACTCTATTAGACTTGTCTAAGTTACTAGGTAAAATGGTCTCATGTATCTCCATTGTTCCCTGGGCCCGTTTACACACCAGATCCCTACAGTGGTTCCTGCTTCCATTTCAAAGATCTGGCAGAAGCAATTCGAAATCCAGGGTCAGGGTACCTCCAAAGGTCCTCACGTCCCTCCTCTGGTGGACCAACCCCGCCATCAACAAAGGTCATTACTTCAAGGAGCCCCAGAGGCTCACCCTCACCACAGACGCCAGCCTATCTGGATGGGGCGCCCACGTCAACTCACTCAGGGCACAGGACAGATGGTCGAAGACAGAACAAAGATGCAGCATAAATTGGCTGGAACTTCATGCCGTCCACCTGGCCCTGCGCAGTTTCCTCCCTCAGGTACGTGGATGTCATGTCCTCATTCTCACGGACAACGTCACAGCCAAAGCACATATCAACAGACAAGGGGGCACACAGTCCATTCGGTTGATGAGAGAGGCCGAGCGCCTCTGTCGTTGGGCAGAATCCAATCACCTCTCACTCAAAGCAGAGCATATCTCAGGGGTTTCCAACATACAGGCAGACTGGCTGAGCAGGGCCACGGTGGACCAGTCAGAATGGCGCCTCCACCCGTAACTGTTCAGGGAGGCGTCCAGAATCTTCGGCCAACCGATAGTGGACCTTTTCGCATCCTCGCTCAATGCACAACTTCCAAGATTCTTCTCGAGGTACCCTTCCCACGGGTCAGAGCTGCGTTGCCCCTGGCCACCAGGGCTCCTATACGCATTCCCTCCACTAGCCCTAGTTCCCAGAGTGATCCAGAAACTAATCCACGAGAAGGCAGAACTGCTTCTGGTGGCCCCCTACTGGCCCAGGCGCCCATGGTTTGCAGACCTCTACAATCTATCAGTAGTGCCCCCCTGGAGGATTCCCCTGGACAGGATCTTCCTCTCCCAGGGGCCCCTTCTGCATCCGGACCCCCAATGGCTCCAGTTAGCCATCTGGAGGTTGAGCGGAACTGCCTAAGGAAAGAGAATTTCTCTAGTCAAGTTATTGACACCATTCTAGCCGCTAGGCGGCCCTCAACCACCCGGATCTACGATGCCACTTGGAATAGCTTGTGCAGGTGGTGTCATAAATCCCAAGTCAACCCACTCTCCCCGTCTATTGCTCAAATTTTGGAATTTCTCCAGGAGGGACTGCATAAAGGACTTTCCCCTAACACCCTGAGGCGACAGGTCGTAGCCCTGACAACTGTTATCTCCTGCGACAATTTTGGCTCCCTTTCCCACCACCTCGCATTAGGGCATTCCTCAGAGGAGCCACTAACTTATGCCCCCCAACTGTTCACCGGTACCCTACCTGGGACCTCAACAAGGTCCTTACTTCTCTCACTAAGCACCCCTTTGAACCTCTGAGGGAGTCCTCCCTCCAGTTTTTAACATTCAAAGTTGTGTTCCTGGTGGCCATTACATCGGCCCGGCAGATATTGGAAATCACAGCCTTATCAGTTAGAAAGGACCTCTGCGTTTTTCACGCTGACCAGGTGGTCCTTCGGCCCGACCCTACCTTCCTGCCCAAGGTCAACTCAGCCTTCCACAGAGCACAGGAACTAATTCTCCCAAACTTTTGCCCCAGACCTCCGCGGGACAGAGAAATACTTTGGCACACACTGGACATAAGACGGGCCCTGCGCATCTACATCAAGCGCACTCAACCCTTTAGGAGGTCTGAATCCCTATTCCTCTCCTTTCAGCCCAAGACATTGGGTCACAAAGTATCCCCTTCAACCATAGGTCGCTGGATCAGGGCAACTATCTCTAGATCTTACCTGTCACAAGCTCTGCCAGTACCCAGTGGAATAACAGCACATTCCACCAGGAGCGCAGCTACTTCAACAGCTTGGGCCACCCAGGCTCCAATCACTGATATATGCCGGGCCGCCACCTGGGCTTCCCCGTCCCCCTTCATTAGGCATTACAAGATCGACATATTTGCCTCAGCAGAGGCCTCGTTTGGCAGATGAGTCCTACAGAGAGTCCTCAATGACCCAGAGGGGCTTCCGACCCAGATGGAGTCCCTCCCGTAGGACTGCGAAGCTTTGGTATGTCCCACTCTGGATGCTCCGAGCAGCTCTATGGAGAATGGGCGTTGGTTCTTACCTGACACGCCCCTTCTCGGTGAGCTGCGAGGAGCATCCAGCCCCACCCTAATTTCTCCGTCTGGTGGGGAATCTTGTTTCGGCCAATGATCCATTAGTTGGTTAGGATGAAAACACGGCTTTTTCTTCTTGTCCTCACAAAACTGGGGAACGGTACGTGGACTCACGTGGAGGAGGAGGAGCGTTCCTCAATTCAAGCTCGGCCTGTGAGAGAGGAGTCTGAAGCACCTCCCACTCTGGATGCTCCTCGCAGCTCGCCGAGAAGGGGCATGTCAGGTAAGAACCAACGCCCAATCTCTTGCCAAGGGAGCTTTTTTCTTTTCCTGCTTGGCGCATGAAAACTTAGGTCTGCACCAGCCAATTTTTGTACAATTTGCTTTATGATATGTTATGATCAGGTTATTCAAATGTCATAGTAATTTCGTAGGTCCATCAGAATTTTAATTTTTGCCCTACATCATTGTTACTTAGTTTTAATCCATATTTCTCCACTATAGTCTGCTTTTCAACTTTTGCACATATTATGGACTTCTTAAGGGAGCTGAATCTTGCATAGGTGGATCTAAAATAAGATTATTTGAGCCTGCTCATTAGTACTATAAAGGAAAATTCTGCTATGAATTTTCTACATTCCAGTTGTTTGTTTTCCAGTCTATACATGATATCTTCAAGAATCTTCTCCATGACCAAAGTTGAGAATCACTACAGAGTGTCATATGAATAATGTGCTCAGTAATCTAAGGATTACAACAATGAAGCCTGTTCATACATGGATACAAAAGTTTCTAGTGAGTTAAAAATGAAGAAAATCTAATTGTATAAAGCATAGCACTGTACGTTCATTTCTGTAAATATATTCACAGTTTTGAAG